GGGCAGGCGCGAGCCAGAGCTTCGCGTCTTCTTGGGGCTCGGCGTCGGTGGTGGCTTCCACTGGTGCTGCGAGTTCCACGAGGGCTCCAGGTACCTTGTCGGGGGCGGTCGGTTTCTCCCCTTCGGCTTCCTCGCCCATTGGGTGTGCGACTCCTCGCCTTGCCACGCTACGGCCTGACGTCAGTTCGCAAGACCTGGGGATGGCCTCCCAGGCTCAGCCGATCGACTTCGGCACCGCTTTCGTTTGGGCCTCTGGAGTGGCCCTTGCAGGGGTGGCGTCATCGTCGGCTCGGTTTACCTCCATGCGGGGATCGGCTGCAGGGGTCAGAACATCGAGCTCCTGCACAGCATAGGTGAAGCACCCAGGGCCTATGGGGCGCCCGCTCTACCCGGGGGCGATTTTCAGTTTCATGGAGGGCCGCTGTTTGAGTTTGGGCGGTTGGGGGACCCGCAGGCTGACGCGGCGTCGGACGCGGCCAACTGGACATGCCAGCTAGGAACCTCTCGATCCCACATCGACTATTTTGTAATGTCTAACTCGCCCAAGCCTTTCGCCGACAGTTGCTATGTGGCGCCTTGGGCGACGTGCGCGCGGCCTCACCGCCCGTTTGTCTTGCGCATGCGTGGAGGACCCAGGCAGATGATGGTGCCCAGGTTCAAGAAACCATCGGCCCTTCCGCTGCACAGACCAAGTGGTTGCGAACCTCGGCCCCTTGACTGGGGAGACCTTCAGGGAGTGCTGACCCAGGGCCCGATCTCCAAGGAGACACTGGACACTGTCACCTCCCAGTGGGTTCAGAGGGCTGAATTGGCACTCGTTCGTGTTCTGCAAGTTGATGCTGAACCTAGATGCCGAGGTCGTGGAGGCCCCCCCAAGGTGATTCAGGTCCGTCTGCTAGGCCTTCCAGCCTCGACGCATCCCAGGGCCATCGGCGAGGGTAGGATGTGGCGCGTGCTGGAGAGACGGATCCAGGATATCCTGTTCCATTGGCATGGGCTTCGGCTCACCTGGGGGGGGCGCAGCAGTCTGGGATCCTCTTGAGGAAGTTGGTGTGCTACCGGGCCCCGTGCATCGATTGCAAGCATTGGGAGTCTTGGAGGCTGCGCATTGTCGCCGTCAACCCGTCCAGCGGAACCGAGCTTAATGAGCTGATCTGGCAGGTCCGCAAGTGGGCCCAGGAGCACGAGTCTCATGCGGCCTCTGATCGAGCCCGAGCTTGGGGGGAGTGGGTCACGGATGCCCTGTACGGGGGGGCCCGCTTGGGCCGCAGGTTCACCAGGGAGGTGCCCAAGTGGGTCGCGTCTGGGCTGTCTCGTTACGCTGGACCCGATGGAGCTCCTATTGGGATTATGGCGGAGGCTGGAGCTCGGGCTCAAGGCTGGCATAAGCACACGGGGGTTGGTCTAGAGTTTCCCGATCCTGACTTCCGCTGGCACGAGGACGAGCCCGAGCTAGAGCCCCCCCGCACACGAGGACCTCCTGGCCCTCACCAGGACGCGCAGCACGGACACGGCCGTCGGCGCCTGCGGCTTACACCCTCGGCACTGGTCCTTCTTGGACGACAGCGCTGTAGAGGTTGTCCTGGGCATCTGGGTGCAGATGCAGAGGCTGTGCGACGTGCCCAGGTGCTGGGCGCTGTTGCTTACTGCCCTTCTGCCAAAGCCTCCGCCTGAAGGGGGGGGTCGCGCCATCGGGGTCTTCCCGTCCCCGCTTCGGACGTGGCCCCGCTGGGCCCGCCGGAAAGTCGCTGGACCGCGGGAGCGGAACCATCCTCGGGGCTACTGGTTCGGCGATGCTGGAGCTTCTTGCGATATCTGTGTGTGCGGAAGCAGAGTTTCAAGGCGGAGTTGGCCAGGGATCAGAGCAAAGCAGCGGGGTCCAAGCTACTTGGTCTCATCAAGGCATACGAGCCTGTTCCCCATCACGTGCTCGCGGCGTGTGCCAAGAAACACAGGTTTCACGGCAAGACCCTGCATTTTTTTCAGGCAACGCACGCGTTTGATCGGATGGTGATGTTCGAAATGATTGCGACCGAGATCGTCTCAACGAATCGTGCGATCGTTGCCGGCTGCAGTTGTGCGACTTCCTTCTTGCGTCTGGTGCTTATTTCCCTTGCTGGTTTGGTTGTTGTTTGGTACCCATCTGTCGATCTGGCGATTGTTGTTGACGATTTGCAGTTGCAGAGGGTGGGTGATGCCTGGGGCGTGGCCTACGATTTTAAAGGGGCGTAGGATCTACTCACGGCTGAATGCGCCAAATGCGGCCTCACCATCTCCCTGCCCAACAAGCACCAGACGGTCGTTGGTTAAGATATTCGGCGCGCTATTCGTAAGATTAAACCCGCTCGGCTCGTTTCCATACCAGATCTGTTCGGAATCTGGGAGTGGACTTTGGAGGCGGCCATCGGATCCTTCATGCGGTTCGGGCGCAGCGTCTCGGGAAGATGGGCTCTAGGGCCCCACGTTACAAGCGGCTGGCCAAAGCGGGGGGCAAAACAGTCAAGTTGGTCCAGACGGGCCTCAAGCCTTGGACGCTGTGGGCGGTCGGTTCCCACGGGGTCAGCAACGCGCAACTGCTCAAGGCCAGGCAGTTGGCTCGTGCGGGATGCGGCTTCAGGCGCACGGGTAGGTCTCTCTCGCTCGACCCGATGCTTGCAGGCCGCCAGGTCGACCCCGCTTTCGAGTGCAACCGTGGGCCGATCTACTTGCGGCTGCAGGCGCTCTGGGATGGTTGGGCGCCAAGGTCTGACATGGCGCGCCTTCTGAGCGGGTCGTGGGCTCGTCTTTCGGTTATCCCAGAGTCAAGGGTGCGGTCCGACATTCGGGGACCTGCCTCGGCCCTTGCGGGCACTATGATCCGTTTGGGATGGAAACTGGTCAACCCGTTCCGTCGGCAAACTCACCGCGGGCCCGTCTCGATATAGGAGATTTCGCCCAGGGGTGGAGGCAAGTTGGCTGATGAGGCCACTATGCGCTGGATTTGGCAGCAGGTCTTGGCTGAGCACCCGTCCTGGGCCTCGCTCTGTCCTCGCCCTCCGCTCCTGGAGCCCTTGAGGTCCCTCCCCCCTCCTTCCTCTAGGGGCCCTGACTAGGCCCCCAGGCGCCGGGGGGGTCCCGAGGTGCTTGTTTGCGGGGGGCTTCTGGTCTCAGGAGAGGCTTTGCGATGTTGACGCGGCGGCCGACCCAGATTGTTCAGTTTGTAAGAGTCGGGGCTTTTTACGGATGCCCCGCTCATGATTCTTATCGTCGCGAGCCTTACCAGTTGGCTGGCCAGATGTTAGACCTGGCCCAGTCGGCCGCTGATCTGTCTCTGATCTGGACCAGGTTTCTTGTCCCTGACCCGTCCTGGCTTCTGCCAAGCCCGCGCCTTGAAGAGCGAGTTGTCTGGACCTTGCGGACTGACGACTTGCCCCTCGATGTGCACGTGTTCGCTGATGGCTCGGGCTTGCATGGGCGGCACAGCCGCCTGAGGCGATGCGGTTGGGGATTCTTCTGCTCTCTCGATGTTTCTTGGCGCGAGGTCGCCAGAATGCATGGGCCGCTTCCATCCCTTTTCCAGTCGGTGCCTGCTGCGGAGCTGGTTAGCTTCCCCATGGCGTTGAGGTATATGGGTGCGCAGCTGAAGCTTTACACCGGCTGCAAGCCGCTAGTAGATGTATGGCGCCAATGGTTTGGAGCTGGCACGGCTGCCAGCGACCCGATGGCGATTCTGGAAGGAAGTCTGGAGGTTGGCGGCGGATCGGGGTCTGGAGGCGGTGGAGGTCACTCATGTCAAAGCCCACGCGCCGCTCTCGGCGGTGGCGGAGGGGCGCCTCGCACCTTGGCAACGCTTCGGGAACGCCAAGGCTGACGAGCCTGCCAAGGTAGGAGCTTCTCTGCACTCGGATAATGAAGGCTTGCGCGCAGCACACAAGTCTTCCATCCAGGAGGTGAAAATGGTTGCTCAGTTTTGCACGCGCGTCGCGGCCAGGATCGGTTCGGTCACGGCCAAAGATGCCCAGGCAATTGTGCTTGGTAGGGCGATCGGTACCATCGAAGGTGGGCTGGGTCCTCCTACGCCGCATTCTCGGTTCGATCCCGCTGTCGCGTTTATGGGCCGGAGATTTCGCTGCATGATCTGCCTCAGGTCGGCGAAGTCCCGATCAGTGCTGCGGCAGTTGAAGTGTTTGGAAAGTCCTGCTCAGCATGCGGTACACCGTGTTGGGCCTGTGCTGTTCTGCGTAACCAAGGGTTTTCCGAGGAATGCAGGCCGTTTAGGCGCCGAGCGAGTGCTCTGGTGAAGTATTCCAGGTACTATCGGCTGCAGAATTTGCTCAAGGGCTGCCACCCCACCTGGCCTTTTTGTTAGGCCCTCCAGTTTTGCTGCGCAAGCGGAGGTTCTGCGAGACGGCTCATTTCCCGCCGCTTCCACATCTCCCTGATACCTCTGGGGCGGGGGGTGGTGCGGGAGTGGGGGCGGGGTGGGCGGGACGGGAGCACTCTCCCCCTGTTTCCCCGGCTGATTTTGCCTTGTGGGAGAGCCTGGTCGGTTTCCCCGATGCCAGCGATTCGGACGACGACGATCCCGCTCGCGAAGCGACGCTGTGGGTCGAATGGCGTATCCTTCGATGGCCTGCGTGTTTTTAATATATTATTAACAAAACACTCTGGCCAGTACGCGTGCGGCTGGTCCTTATCACGTCACAAACTTCCTTTTCCTCCTCCTCCCCGCCCCTCCTCCTCCTCCTCCTCCTCTCCTCCCTCCCTCCTCCTCCTCCTCCTCTCTCTCCTCCTCCTCCTCCTCCTCTCCTCCTCCTCCTCCCCTCCTCCCTCCTCCCTCTCCTCCTCCTCCTCCTCCTCCTCCTCCTCCGCCTCCTCCTCCTCCTCCTCTCCTCCTCCTCCTCCTCCTCCTCCTCCTCCTCCTCCTCCTCCTCCTCCCTCCCCCCCCTCATCCTCCTCCTCCTCCTCCCCCCCTCCTCCCTTCGCCGCTGAGCAGAGCGCGTTTTCGCGGCCCCGTGCAGGACCGCGCCGCCACCCTGGCCTTGGGCGGCGCGGCCGGCCAGCTCCGGGGCGGCGCCCGGGAGGAGGGCGACGCCCCCTCGCTGCCAGGCGCGGGCGCCGCCAGTGGGCTGAGCGGGGCCGAGAGGGCTCCAAGAGGTCCTCCAGGAGGGCCCGAAGAGGCACGAGTCCGTGCCGCATTTTTTTGTCGAGGTTGTCGAAGGAGTTTTTGCACTTGCTTCTCTTCGGCCATCCGACGGCCCAGCGCAGGCCCCCAAGAGCACCCCAAGGTCGCCCCCAGAGCGCCCAAGAGGCCTCCGAGATGGCCCCAAGAGGGGCCTCGTCCCCGCCGCGCTCTCCTCGCCAGGGCTCGTTTCGAGCTGCCGCCGATCCGGTTCGAGTCGGCTTCGATGGCTTCCAGTTTCGATCCGGTTCGACTTCGGATTCCGATTTGGACTCCGATTCCTCTTGTCGATGTCCGCCGATTCGACTTTTCCCGACTCGGTTGCCGGTTTCCGCTGATCTGATTCGTTTCGATCGCCGATCCGACTTGTCGATTCGATTCTTAGGCTCTCCTGTCGTCCCCGCCGCGCTCTCCTCGCCAGGAGGGAGCCGGCCGTACGTAAGCGTGACCTTCCGCCGGGGTGACCTCTGGTGCGGGCGCACTGAGGTCCCCGGGTGGCTGAACGCGATGCGATAGCAGCGGCTTGCGCGCTCCGATTCGGCCTCCCCCAGCGGCCCCCGCCTGTCGCGCAGCAGAGGGCCGAGCAAAAATTGAGGCCTCCCAGATTCAAGCGATTAGATGGGGTCGGAGGTTCGCGCCGTATCGGCGATGCATCGGCGATGCGGCTCGATGCGCAGCCCGATGTTCGCCTTCCCCGCGTCGCTGGCGCATCGCCGATGCATCTCCGATGCATCGCCGATGCATTGGCGATGCTGCGCGATCCTTCGACCCCATGTATTCTGACTCCAACGACGCGGCCTCCAATGAAGGAAACTAGGCCTCCGAGATGATCGGATCCGAGTATATAACCATCGGGGAACTGTAAGACTCGAGTGCTCCAGAACTTGGGTGTGTCGGTCGACGTATTTTGACGGGCACGTACTGGATTGTGACGGTCCAGTTTCTGTGGGATGTCGCAGCGGGAGTTCGCGTCAAATTTCAGAGTGTTGATTTTTTTTCCTGGCGGCCCCTTCGGGCCAGCCCGAGTCCCCCGAACCCAAGTTTTACTTACGTCTCCCCGAATATTGCTTCTCTTCGCAATGAGTCCCATGAAGGAATCTAGGCCTCCCAGACGGGGTCGGCGCATTTAGATCCTTCAGTTTTTTCTGCATACTACACCCTCCGAACCCCGGTCAGATTCCAACCCCACCCCACAGGGCCACGCTCAGTATACAGAAGCCGCCCCCCCAGGAGAGAATTTTGTGACCAGACCCACGACCAGGACCCTCGCCCGCCCACTGGGGCTTCCAGGCATAATATACACACTTTTTGCGGAGTGCAGTGGGTCGGAGGATCGCGCCGCATCGCCGCTGCATCGGCGATGCGGCTCGATGTGGAGTCCAATTCACCCCACGCCGACGTCGCCGATGCATCGGCGATGCCTTAGCGACGCGGAGCGGTCCTCCGACCCCATTTCCCAGACCCCCGAGGTCATGATTTTTTCAAGACGTCGCCCCCCAGAGGTCTCGACCCATTCCCCAGGACCGGTTCTTCGTCCTGCGTCGTTTTTGGCACGGTCCCGAGGGCCGGTGAGGGCTCCTGGAGGCCGAAAGTAGAGAGAAGTTCACCGTCGTGATTCTTTCATTGCTCGAGGGGGTCTGGGGTGTACGCGGACCCCATCCAGGGGGCCTCTATGGAAAGGGGTCCTTCGTGAAACGGATTCTGATGTTTGTCTCCGTCTTCGGGCCCCCGGGGCCCTCCACGAGCGCCAGGGCCGTCAGGAAACGAGTCAGGATGAAGAGTTGGTCCTGGGGTTACGTCGGGCCTGTCCCTGAACTGGGGGAATATTCAAAATAGCACAAAAATAGTCTGGGAACAATGTTTGCCATATTTTCAACCATGTGGGGGTTTGATTCTTTTTTAATTTTTCGTCCAAAATCTCCCTGCATGAGGACGGGCCCGACCTAAGATTTGGATGAAGAATTTGGCCTGGGGGGAGGCCCAGGGATTTGGGGCCTGGTTCCCTCAGGACCCGCTTATACTCCAGGCCAACGTTCTGTGAGAGGCGGGGACTAGGGGGCGGCGGTCTTCGGAGAGGGAGGAGGAGGAAGAGGAGGACGAGGAGGAGGAGGAGGAGGAGGAGGAGGAAGAGGAGGAGGAGGAGAAGAGGGAGGGGAGAGAGGGAGGAGGAGAGGGGAGGAGGAGAGGGAGCAGGAGGAGAGGGAGGAGGAGAGGGAGGAGGAGAGGGAGCAGGAGAGGGAGGAGGAGGAGGAGGAGGAGGAGGAGGAGGAGGAGGAGGCGGAGGAGTTGGAGTTGGAGGAGGAGGAGGAGGAGGAGGAGGAGGAGGAGGGAGGAGGAGGAGGAGGAGGAGGGAGGAGGGGGAGGGGGAGGGGGAGGGGAGGGGGAGGAGGAGGAGGAGGAGGAGGAGGAGGAGGAGGAGGAGGAGGCGAATGAGAAGGAGAAAAGAAGAAGAAGAAGGAGGGGCGGGGAGGAGGAGGGGGAGGGGGTGGAGGAGGGGAAGCAGGAGGAGAGGGAGGAGGAGGAGGAGGAGGAGGAGGAGGAGGAGGAGGAGGAGGAGCAGGCAGGGAGCAGGGTGAGGAGGAGGAGGTGAGGAGGAGGAGGAGGAGGAGGAGGAGGAGGAGGAGGAGGAGGGAGGAGGAGGAGGAGGAGGAGAGGAGGAGGAGGAGGGAGGAGGAGGAGGAGGAGGAGGAGGAGGAGGAGGAGGGGTGGAGGAGGAGGAGGAGGAGGAGGAGGAGGAGGAGGAGGAGGAGGAGGAGGAGGAGGAGGAAGAGGGGGAGGAGGAGGAGGAGGACCCGAGTATAGCCAGGACGCATCAGCAATGCTGCAAGGTGCCCTGTCCCGAGTCCTAGCCTCATAATCCACTACGCAAGCTTGTTTTGCTGGGTGCTGCGAGAAGCGCCCCAGGGCCCGAGAGTCGGTTGTGAGCTCCGGCTTGAAAGAAAGGTGCCTCCATTGACTCGGGGGCCCCCAAACGGGGTGGTGACCACACCGTGCGGTGAGTCGTTGGGGATTCGGGGTCACCGCACGGTTTTGGGACTCGAGGCCTTCTCCGAGCACGTCTCGGGCGACAGGGGCCTCCAGGGTCCCAAGACCGTGCGGTGACGGACCGTGCGGTGAGGTCACCGCACGGTCTGTCACCGCGTCGTTTCGGGATTCCAAATTATCAGGATCGCGACAAAGTGAGGTCAGAAAGTTGGAGGACATGCTCAGCGACAGCCTCGCTTTGAAAAGGACCCGCCCTCAGTCCGTGTAGCTCTTTGCGCAGTTTTTTTCTTTTACAAATGTATGACCGGACAGTCTACTCCAGATTTCGTAACAAAGGGAGGGGGGTCTCATTTCGGGGGGGGGGGTCCCTTCCAGGCTATCTTGGAGGGCCTGGGGGGGTCTGGGGACGACGCTTTGGAGGCTTCTCCCACGGGGAGGGGGTCTGTCGTGGCCTGTCCTGGGGGGCCCAGGCCCCCCCTCCCTTTGATTACGCAACCTGGAGCAGCAGAGTCCACCCCTCCCTCCGTGGAGCGGTCGCAGGGTCCTTTCCTCCTCGTCCTCCTCCTCCTCCTCCTCGTCCTCCCTCTCCTCCTCCTCCTCCTCCTCCTCCTCCTCCTCCTCCTCCTCCTCCTCCTCCTCGTCCTCCCTCTCCTCCTCCTCCTCCTCCTCCTCCCCCTCCTCCCTCTCCGGCGAATTTGCCCGGCCCGCCCTGGCCGCACGCCGGGTGGCGCGGTGCGGAGGGGTTGGTTATAGGAAAGGGGGAGGGAGGAGGAGCAGCCGCAGAAGGAGGGGAAGGAGGGGAGGGGGTCCAAGGAGAAGAGCAGGAGGAGGGAGAGGAGGAGGAAAGGAGGAGCCCGACTGCGGCCAGAGGGGAAGCGACGATCGAGGGGTCCTCCTCGAGGAGGTGGGATGATGGCAAGGGGGGCGAAAATATCGCAGGTTCCCCCTCCTTTCCCTCTCCACTTCCTTCCTCCACCTCCCCCTTCGCGCTGGCCTCAGGGGAAAGGTGCAACAGCAGAAATTTGAGCAGTAGTCAAGCTAGCTAGCCTCAACAGAGAACAACCCACCCCCTACTCTCACCAGGATGACTTTTACATGTTTTCCGGAATGTTTGTGAACTTAGTCGGAACGCCCCGCGGCGACGATTGCAGCCTGTCCAAAATTTCAATAGGTTATAAAGCATATGTCGCGTTCCCTCTGAACAATAAACATGAAACCATGTTGCGTTGTTTGCAAACGCGATGTTTTTGGCTGCGCTTATAAACTGTTATAAGTTTGCGCCGTTGCACGAGCGCGATGGCGCGGTTTGAGCAATGCCACAGGCAATTTCGTGCGCGGCAGTTTTTGTCATGAAATCGTCCATTCAACATGTTTTGAATGTTTACAGTAATGTCATGTTCCATCCCTTGCCCGTTGTGCTCTTCGCAAGCTGCAAGGGGTTCTCTTGGGGCACATGCAGCTGACAACGGTCGTCGTGCCAGAGGCTCTAGAGAGAAGCTCTGAGCATATAGAAATCGAAAAAGACAAAACACATAAACATAAACTTGTGGCGCTCCGCGCGGATTTCTTGGATCCGCGCCTGGGGCCCCCGGCGGCGCCTCCGGCGCCGCCCCTGGCGCGCTCCGCGCGCCAGGGAGGGAGGCCCAGCCGGAATCCAAGTAATCCGCGCGGAGCGCCAAAAGTTCATGTTTATATGGCTTTTGTCTCCTTCTAAGAAAGTGATGTGGTGGGTGTGGCGGTGGCTTGGGTCGCCTTCACAATTCGAACGAGCCAGCGGTCCAGCCAACCTGCACCAGTTCTCCCATAGCACAGGAACACACTGTGGCGCAATATGGTGCAACGGGGGCGTTCGTGAAGGAAGGTGCCCAGGAGGCTGCGGCTTCAGATCCTGGAGGGCTCCCTGCCAGAAGGGGGCGGTGGCGATCTCCATGGCCCATGGCCCGGCCCCGATTGGGAGTTCCAGAGGCCTTTTCAGACCCTGGATTCTGCATCCGACAGTGCCGCACCCAACGCCCTCACCGTAAAATCAAGCGGCGACGGACTCGGAGCAGGTGGCTCTCGGCACTGGGCCGCCCGGCGTTGCCGCCCTGCTAGCGGCGGCTGGCTTCGCCGACCGGGCGGAGGCCGAGAGGCGGGTGCGAGCCGCGGTGACGCGCCGCGCGGCCCAGGCTCTCCGTGATGGCGGTGATCATTGCGTCATGGAGGATGACGATTAATAAATGACCGGGGGTCGTGTTCACGCGGCGGCGCCCGGGATGACGATTAGAAAACCGGCCGCGGGCTGGAAAACTATGTTCTTAATCGTTCTCCTCCAGTCAGAAAATTGTGCAGAAATAGCACACAACTATGTTTTCAATCGTTCTCTCCCATTTTTTATTCATCGTCATCCCGCATTACCTGCGAGCCTCAGTTCCTTTAGATGCCTGCGTCGGCGAGGGCAGGTGGCGGCACAGCTCGGTGCTGGGGCCTGCGCGTGCTCCGGCCTTGCCAGCGCAGGGCGCCTGCACGCGGCTGCGCCTCCGCCGACGCCGGCGAGGGGGACGAGGCACGGGGCCGCGCACGGTCGCCGGCGGCACGTCCGGATCGCCCCCGCGCGACCCTTTTTCTCGCGTGGCAGAGTTGCCGAGGCGCGGCGCGGAGGCGAAGCATGCGCCGCGTCGAAGGCGGCGCTTTCCTCCTCCTCCTCCTCCTCCTCCTCCTCCTCCTCCTCCTCCTCCTCCTCCTCCTCCTCCTCCTCCTCTTGTGTCTCTGTGTCTTCGCCCGCTCCAGTGCGGCCCAGCTGCCGCTGCCGCCTCCCCGCGGCTCCGCGAAGGAACAGAGCGCTCCGCGCCGAGACTGGGTCGTCGCTTCCCAGACGAGATCTGCACGGGACTCTTACGGGGCGGCCATTCCCCGCTCGCGGGCGGCCGCGACCCTAGGGACGCGGTCATTGTCACGCGGGAACGCCTTTTGCTTGCGAGCCTTGCACGGGGCACCAGCGACAACGGCATTTCGCTTGTTCGCAAGCGACCTTGCTGTCCACGTGTTGGCGAGCGAAATATGCGCGCCGTGCCCGAGAAGGAGCTCAATCACTTGGAACATGATCGTGGCGCCGGGGAGAAAGCGACAGTTCGCACTATCGCGCGCGATGCGCGCCTCGCCCCACTCCCGCCGCGCACATTACAACCAGGATGGCCGTGCTTCCATGCTGAGAGGGGAAGCGCGTGCTTCGGACTTCTGTATGGCTCGCAGGATAGAACAAGTCGTGCCCGCCAGGCGGCAGAGCACGAGCCCGCCAGGCGGCAGAGCACGCCCACAGCCCGCCAGGCGGCAGAGCACGAGCAGACGTGAACAAGGCATGAGGAACACGATAGACGCATGATAGCGGCCATTGAACAAATCGTTGAGGCTGAATGTGCGATTGTTCTTTGCACCGCTCCTCCTCCTCCTCCTTTTCCTCCTCCTCCTTTTCCTCCTCCTCCTCCTCCTCATCCTCCTCCTCCCCCGGTTCGCGGTTGCGGGTTACGGGTTGCGGGTGCGGACATGATAGACGCACGATGGAGAGGAGCAGCAGCAGGGGACGAGAAGCGGGTTTGGGGAGACCTCCTCTCGTTTTTGCGCGTTCCAGGGCGCCCCCGGCAGAACAATTCATGAGGAGCATGATAGACGCACGATAGGGAGCAGGAGCAGCAGCAGGGGGACGAGGAGCGCGTTGGGGGGACCTCCTCTCGCCCCTGCGCGCCCCAAGGCGCCCGCGGCAGTGCGGCCGCGGCGGGCCAGGGGGACTCGCTCGTGTCGCCGTCCGCATTTGGTGGCGGGTCTGGCGGGGGCGCTGGCGGGTTCCTCGCGACGCGCGCGGCCGCCGCTGCAGGTGAGGTCGTCGTCGTCGTCGTCGTCGTCGTCGTCGTCGTCGTCGTCGTCGTGTCGCGATGTGCACAGCTGGCTAGGGGTCTGCGGGACAAGATGGGACAAGGTCCGGACGCGGCGGGGGGTGGGTCTCATGCAGCTCGTTTCGGCCCCCCCGCCAGGCAAACTTCTCGGTACATGGCAGCCTCCGGCGTCCCCCAGCGCCAGAAAGAACCGCGCGTGCAGCTGATGTTCCGATACCCTCTTTGGCTTTGCCACTCCCATTCGTAATTGTGCTTCGTGTTGATCCCCAAGTTCCATATGTTGTTACTGTTGTTACCACACGCGTTGTCTTTCATGGTGCGTATGTTGTACACTTTCGCGAGCGCCGCTGCGGCTGCCCTATTCGGCCTCCGCGCCCGCGCTTACAGCATGTCCGCGCGCGATGGTGGCGCGCTGGCTGCGCAGGTGGCCGCGCTGAAAGACTGCGCCAAGCAGGCGGTGGACAACGGGGAGTACGGCCAGGTTGTGAAGCTCGCTGCGCGAATCCAGCAGCTGGAACGGCTGCAGCAGGTCGAGGCAATGGGCGCGTCGCTGAGAGCCGTCGAGGAACGCGTGAGCGCACACATCGCCGGCATGAATTTCGCCCGGGCCGAGCTTCGCCGCGGCATGGCCGCGCTGGCCGAGGCCGGGGCGCCGCTGCCGCACGCGCCGCCAGAGAGCGCGGGAGTCCCCGCGCGAGAGCCCGACGAGGCGAGGGCGCGGCAGGTACCGCACCTGCCCGAGCTGGAGGAGGTGAAAGTAACGGAGAGGAAGCAGGAGCTGTGGGAGAAGTTCGGCGGCCTTGAGCTCGACCCCGTGCTCGGCAGCGGGGCGGTTGTCCTGGTGGACGCGGAGTGGGCGGTGGAGCGGGCGCGCTCCGGCGGAACCCTCGAGCCGCGCCAGGCCTTGCCGCCGATTGCGTTCATGCCCCACAGCGGGGTCAAAGCTGCCACACCTGACTGTGGCGAGCGCATCTCACTGCTACCACTGCTGCACATCGCTTGTGTCTCACACTGCTGGTTGCAGGCTAATCACCCCGACCCTCACGGCCACAACCTGCGCATCCTGGGCCGGGCTTTGCAGCTGCTGTGCGCAGATCCTGTTCCTAATTTCACTGGCCGCTGGGCAGTGTTCATGGATTTCTGCTGCATCCATCAGAATTGCAGGGATTACGGGGGTGCCCCTCAGCGGTACACGTATCAGCTGCTCGAAGGGTCAGAGTGCTATGAGGCCGACGCAATCGGCAAATTCGAGCGCGAGCGTGAGCTCTTCAAGGAGGCTTTAGACAGCATTGGGAGTTTCTACTCCCACCCTGCCACAGTCGTATTCATGCTGACACGGTTCCCCGATGATTACGACAATCCTGCAGCATACACCCGATCTGGCAATTTTGCGCCTTATTTCGACCGCGGCTAGTGTTATTGTGAGTCTTCATGGGCAATGTTGACGAAGCCTTGGGCCTCCCTGGTGGACCTCGGACAAGCCACTGGAGACGAGACAGCATATTTTGGCCACCGTTTCTCTGACGTTTCGCTGGTACACACGTGCGCCGCAGGGCGGAAGGCGCCCGTTTTGCCCGACGCTTTCGAAGCGGAGCTCCACAGCAAGGGCTTCACGAACGGCAAGGACGATCGCCCACGGGTTGCCGAGCTGTACCGGTCGGCGTTCGCGCAGCGCTTCGAGTCCGCAGAGCGGCTGGTGTACGCGTCGTTGGGATGGGGGGACGAGGAGGTCAGGCAGGTGGCCGCAGTACTTGCTTCGGGCGCCGCGCCGCGCCTTCAGGAGCTCAACCTCTTCGGCAACCGCGTGGGGGACGAGGGCGCGGCCGCCCTGGCGGAGGCTCTCCAGGCCCCCGGCGCCCTGCCGAGCCTGCAGGGGCTCTGCCTCGACGGCAACCGCGTGGGGGACGAGGGCGCGGCCGCCCTGGCGGAGGCCCTCGGGGCCCCGGGCGCCCTGCCGAGCCTGCAGACGCTCTACCTCTCCAGCAACCGCGTGGGGGACAAGGGCGCGGCCGCCCTGGCGGAGGCCCTCCGGGCCCCGGGCGCCCTGCCGAGCCTGCAGGCGCTCTGCCTCGACGGCAACCGCGTGGGGGACGAGGGCGCGGCCGCCCTGGCGGAGGCCCTCCGGGCCCCTGGCGCCCTGCCGAGCCTGCAGGCGCTCTACCTCGACGGCAACCACGTGGGGGACGAGGGCGCGGCCGCGCTGCGCGCGGCGTGGGCCGCGGGCGGCCACCCCGAGGGCGGCGACTACGAGGTGCCGGGCGTCGGCGCGTTCGAAAGGGGCGTGTTCCTCTGACCAACCAGGGCTTAGGCAGGAGCTCCTGGGAGTTTGCACCACTGCCGCCGCTCATCTCCAACTCTACTTCTTCCTTCTTACCACCATGTAATGATGATGGTGACGATGGCGATGATGGTGATGATGATGATGCTGATGCTGATGCAGATGCTGATGATGATGATGATGATGATGATGATGGTGATGATGATGATGATGATGATGATGATGATGATGTAATGAAATGATGGTGAGGATGACGATGCTGAGTATGATAATGCTCTTTGTTGAAACATGTAATGAATGATGTGCGCGTGTTGGTGTTGATGATTATGTTTGTGGTAATGTTGATGGTTTTCTTGATGATGATGACGTTCCACTCATGATGATGATGGTGGTGATGATGGTGATTGTTGATCCCCGTCGTTGCGTAATGCGTCGTAGGCCCCCAACGGTTTTTCATCAATCCATTGTTGCGCACGGTATCATTGGGTTAGTTCCTGTCGTTCCCGCCTTCCACCTCGCGTGGTGGTTCACGTAGTGGGCGGTTCGCGAGCGGGTCGCGGGATGAATTGGTGGGTCGCCAGCTTACGTTGCATGCATGCTTATTCCGCAAAGAATAAACAAGCGCGTCGCTAGCATACGTTGTATGCTACGTTATTCAGCATAAGCACAGCAACACCATCGCGACCGCCATTGAGTTGGTGAACGCGAACGCCACAGGGAGGAGGCGGAGGCGGGTATAATATGCGTTGATGTCGATGATGATGTTGACAACGTTTAGTTGATAGTGATGTTGTTGATGATGATTGCAGGAAGTGTGCCTTAGAGGCTGTCAGTGATATTGACGATGACGGTGATCGTGGCGATCTTGACGGCGACGACGATGATGATGGTGGTGATGATAGCGATGATGATGGCGGTGATGATGCTGGTGACGATGATGATGGTGATGATGATGATGACACGCGTGTTACCGTATGTAAGTTGCTGTGAGTCTTTATCCAGATCATGCTTGTAATCAGACATACGTACCAGCCCGTCGATTTTTAGATGCATCAGGTACAACAGTAGTGTTGCTTATGATTGTGACTGCTACATCTACCGATGCTACTATTATTACATGCTACTGATTGTCCTACTGCACCACATGCTACTACTTGGAATGATGGCAAGCTGCATGCAAGCTGCATACATTTCTGCTGCTACACATGCGAGTGCCAGTACTGGTTACGTCGGCCACTGTTGTCTCTACTTGCGAGAGTTTTGTTGCCACCGTTGCTATCCGTACCAGTACAACTACCATTACGACTAGGACTGCGACTACGACTACGACTACGACAACAATGCCATTGTTGGGCCGCTGGCATTTATTTCTGCAATGTCTGTACACCTGCTCTAACTTCATACTTCCCACATCTACATCTTGTGCTTTGCCACTACAACTCTTGACGCATGCGCGGCTGTATCATTTGACGTGTATTCCGCATCTTATTGACATCTTATTCGCATAGTTCCAGTTGCCACCGTGGGCCATTACCTTTTCTCCCTTTCCTCATACTCTTCGGCGCTTCATGTCTCCTCCCGGCTCGCGTTGGGCACCCAGGCGACTCTGGGATGCTTGAACTAGTGAGGGGTGCGCACAAGCGAATGTTTACGATTTTCTACCTGTTTCCGCCCGTGTCTCATATCGCGTATTTTCGTCGGCGTTGTTTTTGTTTATGGCAAATTGTTGGATGATGAGGCTGTCGTCATCCATGGCAGTCGCATTTGGCAGCCACAATGCCTGTTTCTCCTTGTCCCCCGTTCTCTTGCCTTTCTCTGCCCTGGCCGAGTCCGAGGCTACTGCCCAGTTTTGCTTGCAATGCCTGGTCCCCCAAGGACTCCACTGCTACAGCTTAGGCTGCTGCCTGCCGCGTTGACCGACGCGCACTGGGATCGCCCGACGTCTGCGCTCTTAGAGTAAAACAAAAAGCCAGACTTGGGGAGACGGGTGGAACAGGGGACTAGAGAGGAATTCCGAATTCTCGTCGCTTCGCGTGACCCCACCAGACCGTCCAGAACCAATGCCCAGGCGAGTTGCCCTAATTAGGGACGTGGAGGAGAACGTAGTGGAATCAAGAGCCGGGGAAGCGGCCGCGGGCAGATGGAGGAGGAATCGGAGCAGGAGGAGGAGGAGGAGGAGGAGGACAAGGATGAGGAGGGGGAGAAGGGAGGAGGAGAAACAGGCGGATGAGGAAAGGTAGGCGGAGGATAAAGAGGAGGAGGAGGAGTAGAAGGATGAGGAGGAGGACAAGGAGGAGGAGGAGAAGGAGGAGGAGGAGGAGGAGAGCGAGCAGCGAAGCCAGAGGCTTCTTGGATGTCTATTGAAGTCTCTTCGGATGTCTCTTGAGAGTTTGGGATCCTATTGGGGTGTCTTGGGAGCATCTTGGCTGTCCCAGAGGCCTCGTGGAGCGTCTGGGGTGCCTCGGGAGATCCTCTTGGGGCCTATTTGGGCTCTCTTGTGAGCCTGTTGGGAGCCTCTTCTGGCCCCTTGGGGCCTCCTGGGCGCCTCTTGAAGCCGCCTTGGGGCGCCCTTGGGAGCCTTGGGGGCCATCTTGAGGCCACTTGGATGAGATCGATCAAAGAAAGGGTGCCATATTACCCCCCCCCTCCCAGAAGGCCAAACGATGCCCAACACCTTAGTCAAATCATTGAGTTTGCCTTTTCGCGGAAGCCTTCTTGGGTGCTCAAATGGGTCGCGACCCTCCCCCCGCTCTGGTCCAGGGAGAGGGGGTGGAGAGGCGTTGAGAGAGTAATCGCTCGAAGCCACTCACGCCCAGAAGGGTTGGTGTGATTCTGGGCCGCTAGAGCCGCGTGACAATAATCAGCTGGCAAGCCGCCCGCAATCCCAAACGACTATGGGAAATACGAGAAGAGAGCGAACGAGAGAGAGAGAGAGAGTCTTGTCGCTGAGTCGTGTTCTCCAAATCGATGCGGGACGGTGCCTCTCTGGAGAGGCACGCCGGCCGCAGTCTCACCTTTCCAACGCTGCCTGGGGGTGAGACGGTGCTCCCTTCGGCGTCGACGGGGCTGGATCAATGTGACGGGAGGACCAGAGGAGGTTGCATTTGACACGCATTTTCTTCCTCATCAATAGCGTGCGTTTGGGAGGTGAGAGAGGGATACAGTGAGAGAGAGAGAGAGAGAGAGAGAGAAAGAAAGAAAGAAAGACAGCCAGAGAGAGCGAGAGAGAGAGGGCAAGAGGAATAGACAGAGAAAGAGGGAGAGGGAGAGAGAGATGGGGAGCGAGAGGGATATCTATATATATATATATATACACATATATACACAGAGAGGGAGAGAGAGAGAGGTGCTGGGAGAGAGATGGACAGACATACATACAGGGACACATTCATACATACATGCATGCATGCATACATACATACGTACGCACGTATATACATACATACATTTACACCGATACACGAACATACCACGGAAGTGTGAGAGATAGGAGGTAAAGCGATAGAGAGAGAGAAGGACAGGCACACTGAGGGACAACACATACATTGAGAGACAGAGAGAGCGCGGGAGAGAGAAACGTTTCGTTTAGAGAGATGGAGAGAAGAAGAGATAGAGAGAGAGAGATAGGGAGAGGGATGTATGGGGGACAAGCATACACACGCATACATACATGCATACATTCATGTAGACATACCTGTATCCATACATGTACATTCGCATACCTACATGCGTACATGCAACCATACACGCCCTTATGCAGGCATACATCCATGCACCCATACACACATACATACACACATAGACACACACGCATACGCACATATTACGGAAGTGTGAGAGATGGAGGGGGATAGGACGAGAGAACGAGGGAAGGATCGATACAGCGAGGGGCAAACAATCTATACACATATATATAGAGAGAGAGGCACACACATATTGATAACGACATAATGCAAACACTCGAGCAAACACAAGAGGTCAAGAGTGAGAGAGAGAGAGAGACATAGAGAAACAACAACAATATGGGGGAAGGGGACCGGTGGAGTGATGAGTGCAAGTAGCAAGTTGCAGAGTGGTACAGACGATCCAGTGGCCCTGCGCAGAATGTCAGACTCCGAGACCGGAATCGATTAGTTAGGTATTTTGCCCAAACGTGCAACCAAGTATCGCGGCCATGATGAAGATCGCGCTGCAATCGTTTTTGCGCCTGCTCCATGTGTCCGCGTGATGCCCGCGCCAGACGGGGACGGCCGTCACCCGCCACTGCCAGAGGGAATAAGACGAAGGACGAAGGCGCAGATGTGCACAGCTAGACTACAACCGAAACCATCAACAAAGTACGGTCGCCCTAGCGAGCGAACACGGGAGCAGCATCTGGCATGCATGGCCAGAGCTCGCGAGAAGAAGGTTGAGAAAAGGTACAACCAACGCATCGCGGACGTCGAAACACAGTCCCGACAAGTTTGTAGAGGCTTGGCATCGTCGGGTTGTGTTCGTGAGGGTCACCGTCTCCAAATCATGACGTGCATGGGTGAGCCTGTGGCAGCACGGTGCAAACGACGATTGAGTTTCGGCGGCAGGGTATCCAAGCTCGCTCTATCTCTCGCTCGGCCGAAGAGTGGTTGTTGGTCGCAGTGCATGTCATCAAACACATTGGTTAGTTCTGGCGAAATCACGTATTCCTCGGTGCAAAGATGTCGGTAACTCGTTCAGGTGCAATCCCAAGCAAGTTCGCCAAGCGAGTTGTGGCATACTCTGCAATGGCTGTCCAGAGGGATGTTGTGCGCCCTCGCTTCGGGGTTTCTTCCTTGGCATTTGACGAGACAATGCAGAAGCTGAGCTTGGATGTCCCCGTTATGAAGCAGCATGTCCGGTTGGCGTGGATGGTGTTGGCCAGTTTACAAGAATTCAGCATTGGCGTCGGTGGTAATGCATTTACCGTGCACGTTGTCAGGCCCACGCGCAGCCGATAATTGATTTCACGGCTTTTGCAAGTCACATGATGAATGGAGTGGACTTGGATTTCGTCTTCCATTTTGATCGCGACGGCTGTTCCACAAATGACAGACTCGTACTGTTCCGTTTGAAATCACTCCCCGAGTTTACCAGGTGTGGAGCGGTTGTCCTCGGGTCCGACATGCCGTGCTTGAGTCACCAGGACCAGCTTGTTGAGACCAGCCTCGGCAGCGTGGTTGGCATTCCGACTTTGAATAGCTTGTATCGGACGTGCTTGTTATTTCGGATGGGTGCTTACTGGACAAAGATCCTGTTGGTGGTCAGGGCCGCTGTTGCAGCAAACCTATCATGCGATGCTGGCGACATCGCGCCTGCCGATTACAACAAAGAATGGATGGACGATTTGAAAGCTAATTATAGAAAGACCGGCAGGGCATCGAACTCCATGAGACCACGGGGACGGGACACGGGCGAATCCGAGGGCGACGATGACGATACCGAACCATGGGAAACAACCAAAGGGGGCCGAGCATGGCATGACGACCTTGTTGATTTATTGGGTATGTTACCGCGGCCTTGGTACGAAGGGTTGTCGTCGTGCAGACGGTTTTGTGGTGAAGATAGCGTTGCAAGCGTCACGCATGTCATTCGCATGGCGTTATTTCGAAATCTCCCAGTAGTTCATTGTGCCTCTAAGTGGACGTCTTGTGGGCCTGCTGGAGATGCACTTTCTATCGCCAATGATGATTCGGGGTTTTCTCCATGAGATCTTGAACGTTGCTTTTGGGAAGGAGCAGACAATTGTGCCAAAAGAGACTGAACTCCTTGAACAATCTCTCGCAGAGAATTCGAAGCGAGTGAAGTTGACTCTGGAGGTTACTGGGGACCCAAACACAAAGCTCAATGTGTTGATTATGTCCTTGGCGAAGGAGCCCTTTCGGTTCTTGACTGCCAGATTCATGAGGGCGGCTTCCAGGAGCAGACGGAAAGATGAGGTTCGCAGTGGCCGGGCTCGGCTGTGTGATTTCACATCCAGGGAATTTTCGCCGGTCCATTTTGTCGAGCAGTATTTTGGCGCGTGGTTTTCCTCGCGCCCGCCCTGGCACTTTGCTCCTCGAAGGTATGACCGTGGCGAATTGGATCCAATCGAAACCTTTGCATGCTCGGGTGTTGCGTAGGGTCTTGCAAGTTGCAGCATCGCGAGCGCATGCTCGATTTGGCCATTTGCTTGGGTTTCCCTGGGCGCTCGCTGGTCTGACGGACGACCGGTTGGCCAGGGACTCCAAAGTCGCGATCCTTAATTTGCTCGAGCGCACGCCGTCCTGCAAGCTGGATGTGCACTTCAGCCGGCGGTTGAAGAAGGTCGTTGACGGCAACTATAATTACGCAGTTGCTCGGTCAGGATTGGATCGGCGTGCCAACCTCTTGGGCAAAATCAGCTCTCGGGCGAAAGCGTGTCTAATCACCCCCCTCTGGGGGCCAGCAAGAAACCGCCTCGACCCTTGCCAGTGCGGGCAACCCTCGCCCCGGGTGAACTCGGATTCTTGAATAGGGCGGGATGGAGGAGGATTGGGGGGGCGGGATAGAGGATGGCGAGAGGGGGCGGGGGGGGGAGGGTGTGCGAGCGGAGGGGGAGGGGGGCGGAGGAGGACATGCCATACTAACATCTCCTCTCCCTTTTCCGACCCCCTGGGACCCCGGGGGGGCGGCATTCTGAACGGGGACCACCCCCCGACCCCCCACCCCTCACTCCCCCCCGCCCCTGGCAGGGAAGGCATCACGGGGATGGGGCTTACCTTTGACTTGGTTACGGCGTTCCTGTGTACTCTTGTTCCTCTATTTCTTGGGGATTGGTGACGACGACGTTGACGACGACAGCGTCTTCCGCACGCCGAAGGGTCGGCGGAGTCCTCCTCCTCCCCCGCCTCTAGTGCTGATCTTTCTCTCCCTCTCTCCTCCTCCTCCTCGTTCCCCTCCTCCTCTTCCTTCCTTCCTTCCTTCCTTCCTTCCTTTCTTCCTTCCTTCCTTCCTTCCTTTCCTCCTCCCTCACCTCCCTCTCTCTTTCTCTCTCTCTCTCTCTCTTCTTCCTCTCCCTCCCCTTCCTCTCTCCTCCTTCTCTGTGACCTCTCTCCTCCCTCTCTCCTTCTCTCTCTGTCGTTCTCCTCCTGCTTCCTCTTGTTCCTCCTCCTCCTCCTCCTCCTTCTCCTCCTCCTCCTCCTACTCGTTCCTCTGTTTCCTCCTCCTCCTTCCTCATCCGTGGCCTCCTCCCCGCAGGCTCGACGCGCTTCTGTCTGGAGAGGGCCTGGACCTCGTCTTCCCCGAGGTCGGTCGGCGCACGGCCCGACGAAGAAGGCGCCGGGCTGGCGCTGCTTTCGCGAGCGGGCGGGCCACAGTTCGGGTGCTGCTGGAAGTAACCCTGGCCCAAGGTGCCTCCAGGGCCTGGAGCTTCGAAGGAATGGGGGGAGGGGCTTTCCAGGGACTGTCCCCTAACTAGAGGCCAAAGGGTGGCTCCACTCCGACGGGGGTTGGGCTCTCTACGGCCTCGACCAGATGGGGCTGATGTTGTTCGGAGCGGGCTGGCCGGCGATCGGTCTCACGATCATCTGCCTCACCATCGTGGGTGGCCCAACCGGCCTCCGGGGCACCCCTCACGATGCCCAGAGGGCCCTCGGGGCTCCAAAATGGAACGAAAAGTTGGGGGCATTTCGGGCCAGGGGCACTTCTAGCAACATCCGAACAGTAGGCCACGTTTGTCGAATGGCCCTCGGTCCATCCGCCACAGTGCGTGGGTTGTGGGTGTGAATCCATTTAGATGTTCGTTGGGATCTCGTGGGATGCGGAACCACTTACCAGAGCCCAGGGTCACGCGGGAAGCCCCAGGGGGCATGCGGGAAGCCCCTGGAGATTTAGCAATTTGGGCTCCAGGCCTTTATAATTCTTCAGGAGCGAGGGTTGAGGCTTAGAGGATCAAGCAAAGGTCCTGAGGTGGATCAATGTTTTCGAGCTCTCGAGGTCCTCCAGGGGCCTCAGGGCTGCCAGAGAACGAGTCGGGATGAAGATCTCGTCCCGGGGGAAGGCGCCGGGGTCCAGGACCCGTTTCCCTCAGGACCCGTTCCCCCCATGCTAAGTTTATAAGAGTCAGGAAGAGAAAAAACACACACAGACACAATTAATCGTCGATTCCCAGGAAAATATGGCCAAATATGGGAGGTGGGGGGGAAGACAAAAACCAAGAAAATATGTATGTGTCCTGGGGCCCCTTCAAAGAGTGGCCTTTCGCTGGAGTTCTGGGCCTCCCAGATGGGGTCACGCCGCATCGCTGATGCAGCGCGACCCCATCGCCGATGCATCGGCGATGCGGCTCGGTCTGGAGCTCGGGCCTCTCCGCGCCGGCGTCGCCACGGCATCGCCGATGCTTCGGCGGTGCCTGCGCAATCCTCCGACCCCAGCTGCTCTGACCCCTTCTGGGAGGCGCTTGCTCGCCTTCGCCGGAGTGGCCTCTGGAGCGCGGCGTGCGGGGTTCGCCCGGGAGGGGGGCCAGAGCCGAGCACGCGGGCCGCCTGCACAATCTCGACGTTGCTGCTTAAATTGAGTTTTTCCTTTGCATTCACTTGGCATCGCTCGGACGTGTGCTCTTTTCCTTCGGCGAGGAGCATTGAGGAGCATCCTGGAGCATCCTGCGAAAAAGCCACGCACGGAACCGAAACAAAAACACAGGGCATGGACGTCCGAGCGATGGCCGGTTCAGGACGGTGACCGCCAGGGGGGGTGGCATTCTGACCCGGGAGTTGCCCCGGGCCTCCTCGGGGACCCCCTCCTGGGCCCCCCCCGGGGACCCCGCCTTCCTGGCGGGTACCTGGCATCGCTCGGACGTGTACATTTTCTTTCGGTGAGGACAATCGAGGAGCATCCTTGATCATTTGGCGAAAAAACCACGCACGAAGCCGAACAAAAACACAGGTAATTGACGTCCGAGCGATGGCGAGGGTACGAGATCAACGGGGAGGGGCTCCCCTTCGATTCAAGTATGATTTTGCTGTTTCAAGTCGCTTTGGCTGGCGCGCTTGAGGGAGCCTGGGGGAGAGAAGGGAGCGGCGACGGCGACATGGCGAACGTAAGAGCGTCTTCCACAAGCCGACAAGGTCGGCCGATGTGATTTTCTTGTAATCACTTGTTGGGCCTGGGGGAGGCTTCACTCTGCCACGGCTGGATCCCAGTCGATGTTGTTGTCAGACTGCCGCCGACTTCGAGGGAGTAAGGCGCATTGCTCCAAGTGATTTCGGGATCGGCATTCTGGATGTTGCGCCCTCTCCTTTTGCCTTCGTCCTCATCTCAGAAAAAAACGGCTTTGAGGGAGGAAAGAGGGAAGGAGGAGGATATTGGCGTATTGCTGAGCTTCAAGGGCGGCTAGTCTCTGTGATCAGAAAACAGATCTATTCAAAGAGCCTGCATGCCAGCTGATATGACTCACAGGCTTCGGGGTCAACGGGGCCCCCTTGCAAAAAGACAGCGGGCATAGACCACTCAAACCTCTGCCATCTTCCTCCTCCTCCTTCCATGGGACTCCCGTGCGGGACCCTCTTTGGCCATTTCGCAGCCTTTGTCGTTGCATCCATACTTCTCTTCTCCACTCTTTTTCCTCCTCCCCTTTCCTTCCCGAACGCGCACGGACGCCTGCGACAAGTCAGAGACGTTGCGAACAGTGGCGAAAACCTTTCTGACAATCAAAACAAAATAACAAAGAAACACCAAACAAATCATGATGTCGGACAAACCCGAGCATCCCCCTCAGATGCTTTTCCGGAATCAAAGTTTGTTGTTGTTGTTGTGTTTTCTTGCATGTTCATTGCGTTGTTCTTGATACTGGCCAGGAGGAGTAGGAGTAGGGAGGAGGATAATGAGGAGGAGGAGGAGGAGGAGGAGGAAAAAGAGGAGGCGGAGAAGGAGAAAGAGTAGGAAAGGTAAGGTAAGGTAAGGTAAGCCAGCGCCCTAAAGGCAGTTTGCCGTACGGGACGGCGCGGGCCTGCCACCTCAGATGACCACGTCCAGGAGGTAGGCAACACCTTGCGGGGTCAGGGAGAGGCCTGCCTGAAAGACAACCCCTTCGCCGACCCCGATCCCGTCGCCCTCAGGCGACAGGCCCAAAACCTGCAGGCCTAGCCAGCGCCCTCGCGCATCGCCGCGGCCCACTCGAGGAAGGTGTTCCAGCAGCCGCTGTCCTTGAAGTGTTTCGCGAGCGCCTTGACGCTCTCATCACACAGCTTGAGGCTGTTGCTCTCCAACCTGAGCTTTACGTCCTCCAGCTCTTTGATGTCCTTGTAGGCCTCCGTGCCGACCGCCACTTCGAGGTATGAGGCCCTCGGGCGTGGATCACGAAGACCATGGCCAGGGTTGCCACCACCACCAGGCGCATGTAGGACCTTGTCGATGGTGTCGGTCTTGAGCCTCGCCGCTGCTGCACGCTGCGCCCATACCAGCTCCATCTTGGAGAAGGCCTCGGCGTTCTGATGCAGCACCGCCTTGAACGTATCGTCATCCTGAGTCGCAGATCTATCCAGCGGCTTCGGCCGCTGGTCCTTCCGCCCACTCACGCCCATGTCCATGTTGGAGCTCATCTGCAGGTTGACGGAGTCCTGCTGCTTCGAGCCCTCCGCCGTTACGACAAGCTTCTCGTCGTCGGGAGCCGCTGCACTGCCCAGCGGGTTCGGTCGCTGGTCCTGCAGCCCCCTCATGCCCACGTAGATGTCATTGTGACTACTGCCCGCGATCTCGACGATCGTCTCAGCGCCGGCGGTGTCCAGCTTCTCTGCGGCCGCATCCGCCACGCCAGGCATCTGGTAGTCCGTGTTGAGGCTCTCCAGCTCGTCGATGGTGACCAGCTGCTGCGCGCCCACATCCATCACGGCAGGCTCCTCATGCTTCGTTTCGAAGTCGTCCAGATCGAGGTACCACATGTTGACTCCATTCAACCATTCATCCTCGATGTCCTGGGCGTCCAGGGAGTACATCATGACCAGCTTGGGCATCCCGGCCTCCTGCGCCGTGGGGCTCTTCAGCGGCGCGGGCTGCGCGACCGCCGCCTCCAGGGCGCGCTGCTGAACATCTGGTCCTTCCTGTCCTTCCTGTCCTTCTTCTCCTTCTTGCGGGCCTCCTTCTCCGCCTTGCGCTGCTCGCGGATCTCGCGGTGCTTGCGAAGCTGGCGGAGCTCCTCCCATTCGGCCTCCTCCTTGTGCGCCTCCAGCGCGTCGAGGAACACCTGGCGAGCCGACGGCCTTGGCGAGCTGGGGCTCGGAGTAGCCGCCGATGGCGCCGTCGATGGAGTGGGCCCCCGCGTCCAGCGGTTCCTGCGCTGGAGCACGCCGCCCTGGTCGCCCTCCTTGCCCTGGGGCTCGTTCACCTGGCCGTCCTCCAGCGCTAGCAAGGGGGGCTCCACTGGCGGTGTCGAACTCGGCCGAGCCCGCGCCTTGGGCCGCGGCGCCTCCGTGGGGGACGGGCGCGGCGGCTGCGCTGGCATCTCTTGCCACAAGCCTGGTGGCGGCTCGAGCGGCGGGCTGTTGAAGGCCGCCTCGAGCGCCGCCGCCACCGCCGATGAGACCACCGTCGCCATCGCTTCGCGCCTCCATGCCATGTAAGGAGGTCCAGTTGCTCTGGGATTCTCAGACTTTGGCTCGCAGACACGAGCACCACTTCGAAGTACGTGCCTGCAACACTCTCGAGTGCGAAATGGCTGGAGAAAGAGTAGGAGGATGAGGAGGGGGGGGAGGAGGGGGGGAGGGAGTAGGAGTAGGGAGGAGGAGGAGGAGGAGGAGGAGGAGGAAGAGGAGGAGGAGGATGGCAAGGAAAAGAAGGAGGAGGAGGAGGAGTGTGAGGAGCACTTGGGATTAATTCCCTCCCCCCTCCTCCCTTCCGCTCCCCCTCCTTCATCTCTCCCCCCCTCCGCACTCCTTCTTCCTCCCTCCTTCGCATTGCATCGCATTGCATTGCAATCGCATTGCGTTGCTGGAACGCCACTGCTTGGAGCCATGGCCAAATCGGATAAGGACACCGAACAGTACGACATAAAGCTCAAAGCAAACCGACAGTACCACGCCAGACAACAGCTTCAAGCTTTCCAGCAGCCACCGCGGGTAAAGAAGCTGTTGGCGACGTTTCGTCGCGCGGCCTCTGACAAGGTCCGCGCTGCGGCCCGCTCGACGACGGAAGAGCACAACAAGAAAGAACATGCCCTGCGGACCCTTGCGTAACATACAAAACACCACACCCCAGCCCGACATCTAGTTATTGCCACGCACAAGCGACACGACTCGGAAACGTTGTATAGCAGCATGTGTTGTGTGTTGGTACCGCTTGTG